CCCTGCCATCCCTTCACCCCCTTCTCCTCTCCCCATTTACAAACAGTTTATTTCCATTTTTTCATTTTCTCCTATTTTTTTCTTTCCCTTACCTTTTATTACCTTTCCCCTACCCTTCCCACCTTCCCCACACCTTTAGCCCTTTTCTTCCAATTTCACATTGTCAATTATCTCATTAGGATGTTATTGTATCATTAGTTTTAATTGTTGGTGTAAAAAAGAAACAAACTCCCCATTTACAAACAGTTTATTTCCATTTTTTCATTTTCTCCTATTTTTTTCTTTCCCTTACCTTTTATTACCTTTCCCCTACCCTTCCCACCTTCCCCACACCTTTAGCCCTTTTCTTCCAATTTCACATTGTCAATTATCTCATTAGGATGTTATTGTATCATTAGTTTTAATTGTTGGTGTAAAAAAGAAACAAACTCACTTGCAGGTTAAGATGCGAACCAAATCATTTGGTTTATATAGCTCAATACACACAGCACAACTGTCTCCATCAGGGCCAATTTCCTATGAGCAAAGAGTTATTGTTACTCTGATAGATAAGAAAAAATAAATTAAACTTTGGAGCAAAATCAGAATATGCATATATTCAACTACCATAAATTCCTATAGAAATTTTATCATTAAGTGACTACCTGTAAAGTTTCAATAGATCATTTAAATTTATTTAGATTAAAATAGGTAAAAGAATAAAGTCAACAAAAGAGGAAAAAATCGTATAGCACTAATTCAAACTCTTCTTTCTGATTTTAGAATTCATAAAATGTCATTTGTACAATTACTGTGTTTTCCTATTTAAAGATAAGGTATACTTTACATACAGTAAAATTTACTTTCAGTGTACAGTTCTGCAAATTTTGACAAACTTATAGGTGCTTAACTCCCACCATAACCAAGATATAGAATAGTAACATTACCCGAACAACTCCTTAATGCTCCTTGGAGTATGGAATTTCTCTCACTTCTAGTCCTTGGCAACCACTGTTTTCAGTTTGTATAGTTTAGCTTTTGTAGAATGTAAAATAAATGGAATCATGCACTATCTATCCTTTGAGTCTCACTTCCTTCATGTAACATAACACATACATGATTCATCCATATTGTTGTTATCAGTAGAGTGTCCACATCCTTTTTATTGCTAAATGGTATTTCCTTGTTTATCTATTCACCAGTTGGAGGGCATTTAGGTCATTTCCAGTTTTGGGCAATTATGAATAAAGCTGCTGTGAACAATTGTGTACAGGTTTTATTTGAATATGGGAGCCTTGAACTTGCTATGTGGCCTGTGGTGGCCTCAAGCTTATCTTCGTGCTTCAGCCTCCAGAGTGCTAGGCTTACAGGCATGCACCACCATGCCTAGCTTTGATCAGTGTATTTTTAACTTCATAAGAAATTGCTAAACTCTTTTTCAAAGTGGCCATACCATTTTATATTCTTTTATTTTCTGGTACCGTGATCCAACTCAGGATCTTATGCTTGACAGGCTGGTGTGGAGCCACTGAGCTAAATCCCAGTCCCTCCATTTTGCATTCTTGCCAGCAAATGCATGAAAGCTCCACTTACTCTACATCTTGATCAGCTCTTGGCATGTTCAGTTGTATTAATTTTAGCCATTCTAATGAATGTGCAGTAGTATCTCACAGTGGTTTTAATTTTATTGTTTCCTAATGATCATTTGAGTACCTTTTTTCTTTTTTTTTGGTACTGGGGATGGAACTCAGGACCTTGCATTTGTGAGGCAGGCGGTGGTGGCACCACTGAGCTAAATCCCCGGCCCCTGAGCATCTTTTTATTGCCAGTCATCTATTTTTTTTTTCTGGCACCGGGAATTGAATTCAGTATCTTGCACTTGCCTATTTCTTATTGGGTTGGATTTTTCTTACTGTTGAGAATTCTTTAGACTTTCTGTATACAGTCCTTTAAGAAATAGATGATTTGTAAATACTTTCTCCCAGTCTACTCCTTGCCTTTTCCTTCTCTTAACAGTGTTTTTCAAAGAGTAAGAATTCTTAATTTTGACCAATTTCTTCTTTATGTACTTGTTTTTCGTTACATATTTAAGAAATATTTGTGTGTCCCACATCATTATGATTTTTCCCCCAAACTTGATTCCACAATTCTGGTTGAAAATTAAGTTGGATGAGAACCAAATCAAATTCAATGATTAGCTTCAATGTTGACCTTTTGGGAAAATTTAATTTGATTCTTACACAGTTCAGTTTGTAACCAGAATTGTGTAGAGAACTGAATTTATGAACTAAGGTACCACTGTAATTGCGATTCTCTCTTTTTTTGTAGTTATCCCTTTGTGGTATAAGTCTATCTTTTCTTCATTGGACTACATTTGCATATTTCTGGAAAATTACTTAACCATATATGTGTTAGTCTATATTGTAAGTCTATCCTTTCTCCAATACCTAATTATTTTGACTACTGTAGGTTTAAAATAGTTTTAACTAGGTGTGGTGGGGCAGGCCTGTAATCCCAGCACTGAGGAGGCTAAGGCAGAAGGATGAATTCAAGTCCAGCCTGAACTACATAGCAAAACCTTGTCTCAAAACAAACAAACAAGCAGACAAAAAATTCTGCTAATTAAGTAGTATAAATCATCAAAAGTTGCATTTATTTATTAAAATTGTTTTGCTTATTGTAGTCCTTTGGCTTTTCCATATAAAGTTAGAATTACCATGTCAATTTTTTTTTTTTTTGTACTGGGGATCAAACTTGGGTCCTTGCGCTTGGGAGGCAGGTGGCAGAACCACTGAACTAAATCCCTGGCCCTACCTTGTCAATTTTTTCAAAAGGTCCCTCTAGGATTTTTATGGAAATGACATTGAATTGCTAGGTAAGATTTTTTTTTTGTAGGAGGGATCAAACTCAGGACCTTTTGTTTGCGAGGAAGGCACAGTGCCATTGAGCTAAATCCCTGGCCCTTAGATAAGTTTTGAAGGAAATGGCACCTAACAATGACTTTTCTGACCCAGAAACATGGTATATTTCTCTTTCATAGTAGATCTCTTTCTTTCATTACTGTTTTTGTATCTTCAGCATATAAATTTTGTACATAACCTGACAATTTATATCTAAGTATTTAATGCTTTTGATACTGTTATACATGGTATATCTTTGTTTGGATGAGTTCTATAGCTATTCTAATGGTGCATATTTTATGCATCAATGGTTGTTCTCAACTGTCCTAAATCTGAAAATAAATGTTCAAGCAAAGATCCATTAGAGCACTGTATTAGTTTTCTGGTGTTGTTGTAGCAAGTTACTCTAACTTAGTGGCTTAAAACAATACAACTTTATTCTTTTACTATTACAGCGGTTCAGGCAGTACTATGTTCCTTCTTGAGGCTTCAGGGGAAAATCCTTTTCCATCGTCTACAGGCTGTCTGCAATCTCTGGCTCAGTGCCTCTTCTTTCACTCAATCCAACTTCTTGCTTCCATTGCCATATCTCCCTCTTCCTTCATCTTATAAGAACACTGTGATTATATTTGGGACACATCTAGATAATCCAGAATAACCCTCTTGTCTCAATTTCTCTCTTTCTTTTTCTGCCTCCTTCCCTCCCTCTCTCTCTCTCTCTCCCTTCCCTTCCCTTCTCTCTCTCTCTCTCCCTCTCTCTCTCTCCCTCTCTCTCTCTCTACCAGGGATTGAACTCCTGACCTTGCGCTTGTGAGGCAGACAGAGGCACCACTCACTGAGCTAAATTCCCAGCCCTCAATTTCTTTATCTTAATTGTATCTGCTAAGTTCTTTCTGCCATATAAGGTAATGTTCACAGGTTCCAGCAATTTGGATTTAGATATGTTTGAAGGTCAATATTCAGCCTACTCTCAGCAACAAATGCATTTCTTAAAGCTAATGAGGTTTACAAAAGCCAATGAAAGACATATTGGAAGAGGCGTTTCAACAATGGCTTGGAAACACTGCTTTAAAACAAATAGCATTTAAAAGTAATAAATACACCTTGTCTCCTTGTTTCAGTGTGCGCAGCTGAAGCCTTCCAATAGCTTTTTTAGCATCTGCTTTTAATTGTCTCTGTAATAAAAATAACAAGTATTAGAAAAAGTGTTTTTAAAAAGAACTATGGTAAAATGTGAACCAAGACCTGTCATGTAAAGGTACAAGATTCCAATAATGAATATAACTGTACTGTATACCTAAAATGTACCAATAAACTCAATGAGAAAAAAAGAACTATGGTGAAAAATGTAGACTAATAAATATCATGTAAAAGTCAATATATAAATGTATTTTAAAAGACAATTTAATTAACTAATAAGTGATCCATTTTTCTGTTATCAGGCATGGTTTCAAAAAATTGCTGAAGCTTTTTCCTTATATTTCCTTACTTTCTTAAACAGCATTTTTGGGATTACAATGATACAGCTATATGACTCTTTTCCAAATAGATTCAGATACTACAAATTTTTGGGGCAATTTTTCTACTTTCAAGCTCAGAGGAGTCAGAAGTGAAGAGCGAGCATGAGAGGAACCTAAAAGATGAGGAAAAGATTACAAAGAGACCTTAAAGTGCATCCATTTTCTCTGATTTCTTTCTTGAAACATGTTTTGTAGAAAGCACACAGGATTTGGATTCAAATGGACATCAATTCAAAATCTGATTTTGTTACTAAATGAATAACTTTAGACAAGTCATTTTATTATGAGCTTATTTACTCATCTACAAAATGAGGATAATACCAACTTTTACAGTATTGATAGTAGATAAAATGCTTTTATAACCACTATTGCTTAATAAGGAGGATGGATTCTGACAGTACTGTAGTCACCTTTACTGTTTCAATGAGCACATATCTAAATGAGTCTGGGTATTCGAGGCTTATTTAGGGAGTGAGGATTAAACCATTATGTATAATTGAGTGAGAAGTGAAATGGAATATGGTAGGAACCTAAAAGATGAGGAAAAGATTAGAAAGAGATAAATCATTGAGAGACTGCCCCTTTTCTATGCAAGGTAAATTTGCCAGAGAGGAAAAATAAATCCCAAGTGGTATGATGTATTTGGTGTTAATTTGATGTAATGCTGCAAATAAATCCTTTTACTAAAATCTACTACATACAAGAATGCCTGAAGTGAATATAATATATGTGCAAATTGAATTAGAGGCTAGATTTCACACCTGGGTGGATGCTGTGCTGAATATAATAACAGCATGCACAGCATGGCCAGATGCTAAGCAATCTTCCTATTTTGAACTGTAAAATGAACAAACTTACTAGAAATTCAGCAAAAAGTTAATGCCCAGAACTAGAAGTCACTGCGAGAATGTAAAGAACTTCCCATCCCTCTTATATTCTCTTCCCTAGCAGGGTTCCCAGCTGGCATGTAGGGTACATAAAAATTACAAATGATGTATTTAAAGTATCTAGCAGCATGCCTGACATATAGGAGACATTCAGTGAAATGAAAATAGAAGTTACTACTCATAAAAAAGCATCAACACATGCTTGTAACATGTCTACTACATATTTGTAGCACATATAAGAGGAATCTCCTTAATGCCCAAATCTGTGTCATATATAAGATAACATTTTGTGAAAGGTATTTGGTTTAAGACCAAGGAAATTATTAGCCAAACTATTTCTTTGCTCTCACAGGACAGTAGAAATCTCTTGGATTGTTACCTTACTAGTAAATATAGCTTAATGGAAATAATTAATAGAAAGGTCTAGAGCCTAAGAAGAAAAGAGTTGTTAATGAAAATCCTTTCACTCCTTTTCTTAATTTTGAGTTAAAAGGGGGATTCTATGATGGGCTTTTGTTTGGAGCACAAATATCTTCCTATTTTATTAGTTGTATTGCAAATAAATAAGAAAGTGATGGCGGACCAAGGTTACCTAGGATCTATAGATCACCTAGCCCAATATCTAATCTGGGAAAGAAGAAAATTTATGCCAAAGAGGAAGAACATCTTGATCACAATATCAGAGTTGGTTAGTTTTAGCCTCACCAAAGCTCAGAGTTGCATCAAGGAAGTCATCCGTGGCTTGGAACAGGAGGTTACTACTACTTCCTTGTATTTATAGAGTTGTTACACAGATTTAAAGCCATTATTTCAATCCATTACCTCATTTAGTTCTCATATGAATACTCTGAAAGAGGTAATATTCTCATTTAAAGATGAGCAGCTGGAGACTAGGGAAAGTAAAATAACTTGTCCAAAAGTGTATAAAGCCTCTGAATAACAGAACTGTTACTGGAACACTGATCTTCATATTCCAAAAGTCAATTACAACACAAACATTCATAATTCAGCTATCTCTTTATGCTTTTCTAGTTCTTCCATTCTATGGTTATTTTGTCACCAGTTTAGACAGGGAAGTTTTATTTTGATTTATGCATCCAAAAGAAGAGCCATGGACTGAGGTAGACATCTTCATTCTCAGCCACCATATTATATGCCCAGTGGCCCAACTGCTCCTGTCTGTCCAGCTGCTCTTGTAGCCACAAGAGTCCACACAATAGTGGCTGTCTACCAGTACCAGACCTTATATAGGGCAAGTGGCTACCAGGACATCAAGAAATGCACCTGTGCTGGAGTCTTGTTGACCCACTGCCTCCTGGATACTGCCCTTCACAGCCTGAACTATAGTTGTGGTCATCTTGGGCTTCCATGATCCTTTACAAGGGCCCATTAAACTGTGGTAATCCTTTTTCAGTGGTGGCCCTGGCATACATTTCCAATCTTCACTACTTTCTTTACACATAGATTCTTAACTACTGAGTGAGAGGAGAAAGATGTAAATGAAAAACAAGAGAAAGCAAGGGCTGGCAGGAGGCAGTAATGCACTTGGCAATGTGTGTCTGATAATAATTTTTCTCATCTTTTTTTTTTTTTTTTGTACTGAGGATTTAACTTGGGTCCTTGCGCTTGCAAGGCAGGCACTTGAACGACTGAGCTAAATCCTCAGCCCAATTGTTCTCATCTTTAAAGCGTTTCTGATTTAGGCTTAAGAAATGAGCTCTGATATTCAATTAGGGAAATGCTCTCATAAAGAAGTAATATCTCTCTATTTACTTGATTAAGCTAATATAGTCTGATTTCTCATTCTAAAATATTCTATACAATATAATTTCAAAGCCTTCAGTACTAATGCTTATCAATATATTAGGAATGAATGCCAAATACATAAATTTCTTAATTATAGCTAAGTTTGTAATATACATTAATATGAGGTGCAGGATTATGTAATGTGAGTCTTTTCCCAGGAGAACAGAATTACATTAAAACAAACGCTATAAAAGGTAG